TATACAGACATACAATTACCTTATACAGAGATGTGCAAGGTAATCACTATAACATTACACAAAGAATGACAAAATGAACAACATTTTACCGTTTACAAAGTTTTTAATTATTGATCTTAATCAACATGATTCTATTACTTAATTTAAGATGTTCCCCTTGTCACTGTTCAAGAAGTGCATCACATGTTTTTCAATTTACTTTTGGGCAATCAAGATTTCTTGCTACATCACACACGTAGTTTACTGCTCGAACTGCCAAATGAAGCGTCCGCTTTCCTGACCCCTGCAAAAAATAAAGAAAAAAAATTAACTGAAATTAAACGAAAGAAACATGTTTTTAAAACTTTTAGTGAATTCGTGCAGAATTATATTCCTGAACCGCCTAAGCCCTTGCGGTCTATCCATTGTCTTGAGTATGGTTACTTCCTTCTATGGTAGAATTTGAAAAAATAGATATTGAAATGATGGATCTAACTCTAGGTAGGCAGTCTAAACTCCCATCGGAAAAAATGTTATATTAAAAGGAAAATTATTATTGTCAAACTGACAAAAGCAAGACCTTCTTTAGGACTGACAAAAAAAAGTCGAAAAAGTCTTTTGAAAATTGAAATGTAAGCTTAAAAGTCATGTTTTTCTCAGTCGTCAACCAGCAAGTATAAAAGTAATGGGAACATTCACTGGTGTGATTACCAACCATTAACTAGACTAAATCTAGCTGTCTTACCGGTTCTTTTGTGTATGGCTTTTTCCATACCCCGGATATAGCCGTTACRTCTTGAGTCCAAACACCTAAAAACACAGCCAAGACAAGAGCAGTAAAGACGAAGCTTTGAGCGTTCATATTTCCTTGTTATGTAAAAGACTAGAGTGAGCAGTAGTATTAAGATCTATCGATGGATTCGAGGTTAACAAAATACATAATCAGGAAAGAAATGAAAACTCGTTGAATTGACTTGAATGTTTATTATACCTTGTGAAATATCAACTCAAGCATTGTAGCATTTTTATGTTTGACACCTTGGTCAAGAAGGATAGGCGATTCTTAATAGACGGCGATGCCTAATTTCAAAAGGACAGGGCAGATAGCTTCAGGCGGCTTCAGGCTAATCAGAGGATATAAAGAGTACGTAAATGTCGCTGAAGAGACTGGTTTTTCTGCGCATGCTCCTAGCACTTTTTACCCCAACTGTAACAGTAAGTAGTCAAAGTATTGACAATAAATGTCACAATTCTTAAGGCCGATAATACGTACATGCCTAAATCGGACTACGGTATATCTATATTTCAATTACAGTTAATTATTAAGAAAATACTAAGCTGACAGAATAATAGATTAAAGAATTGAGAGGTTTTAACCTCCTTTAGTTCAATGTTGGTATTTCTCCGAGAGTTTTTCTGTTAACTACAGGTGGCAAGAGAATATGAACTAAGAGAAGGAATCCACGTGCCCCATCATGTGCACACTTTGATGCTATTTGTAGAATCTATTCTAAAAGTATCGTCCAATGATATCATTTATTTGATCGTTTGATTTTTCGGCACGCGCATAGTACGCGCGCGCTCTACGCTGTTTGCTAACGTTTTCTTGTTCTTTTCTAATGTTCGAATGTTCAAATCTGCCCTGAAGATGACAGCGTAGGTCGAAAGCTTTGGAAAATAAATGTAAAAATACTCCAGAAAGTTGAACAAATTACTACTTAAATTTCCTGTCGTATTTGCCAAGCTTTCGACGTGCACATTCATATTCAGGGCAGAATCGAAATAACGAAAAAACCACAAAAACGTAAGCAAACAGCGTAGAGCGCGCGCAGTAAATGCGCGTGCAGAAAGACAAAGGGTTTAAAAATTGCATCAAACTGTGCACATGATGGTTACAGGGCTATATAGGGGGAATTCCTTCTCTTAGTTCATTTTCTCTTGCAGGTGGTTAATAATCATTCCTAAGGGAACAGTATTATGTAGTGGCAGCCATGTTGGATGATGTTAACTATAGGTGGTTTATAATCATTCCTAAGGTAAAAACACTAGTGCAAGCCATGTTGGATGATGTTCACTATAGGTGGTTTATAAGCATTCATTCATTCATTCATACATTCATTTATTTATTCATTTATTTATTTATTTATTCAAGAACCATGATTCATAACTGAGATTATAAATTCCACAAATAATTTTATTCAAAACTATTGGTAGATGGTGATCATGAGCAATACATATTTCATAATTTCCTTAATCTTGACAATAAGTTAATCAGAATTTGTACTATTTGCTAGTTATTAGTTCCATTGGTAGATGGTGAGCAATACATATTTCATAATTTCCTTAATCTTGACAATAAGTTAATCAGAAGTTGTATTAGTTGCAGTGAATGCTTCATATGCAGTCAAACTCTCTTGCAGCGTTACATACATAGTCCTCTGCTCGCTTGATAAATTCACGACTTCGCCATAGATTCGGAGAAACCTATATAACAAAAAAGACTCGTTATCGCTATTGAACCGCAGCTCCGCACGGGGTCGAACTGAAAGCATGTGGAAGCAAAAAGTCCATGTATGCTCCATTGCATAGCTCTAACCAGTGTGAATTAGTTAGGGTTGATTCTGAGAGGAGGGAAGAAAATCCGGAGGGCTGGAAAAACCCTCAGCTCACATGGGGTGCCTGGGATTCGAACCCCGGACCTCAGAGGTGAGAGGTGAGTCCCCCGGATGGCTGTTCACTATTTAATTTGTTAGTACCGGGCTATGTAGGTTTTGGAGGAGGGTGGCAGTTGCTTTAAACAACGCTTGGGAAGAGATATCAAATTAAAAGGAGATATTCATTTTATATTTATGAATGGTCTGCAGAAATAATATTTAGGTCTGTGAAGAGGAAGGTGGAAGAGAAGGAAGGTGAMGAAAAAGGTTTCATTTTAAAACTCAAGATCCACGTGCCTCTTCAAACCCATAATTTATAGATCGGTCTCTAAAATGTCCAGAACAGATAACCGGTTGAGTTGTTTTGTTAAGTGTTTCTTAGTAGTTGTTTGGCATGTTGTTTCAGAAGCAAATTCTAAATGTACTTTGATCAAACTTTAATAAGTATGATGTTAGAAAGAAAGAAAGAAAATGAGAACCACCATCAAGACGAGTAGGTAAAAAAGAATGAATGAAAATAATTTCTTTGTACTAATGGGCCCGACAGGTATTTCCAATATATCAAGATCACTGTGTAAGATCTGCACATATATACTTTGTAAGTATTAATGGGCCCGACAGGTATTTCCAATATATCAAGATCACTGTGTAAGATCTGCACAAATACACTTTGTAAGTACTAATAGGGCTCGACAGGTATTTCTCAATATATCAAGATCACTGTGTAAGATCTGCACATATATACTTTGTAAGTATTAATGGGCCCGACAGGTATTTCCAATATATCAAGATCATTGTGTAAGATCTGCACATATATCTTCGTAAGCGGTACTAATGGACCCGACAGGTATTTCTCAATATATCAAGATCACTGTGTAGGGTCTGCATATATATAATTTACCTTCTGTTGTGTTCCAACTAAATTATCTTTACCATCTTTACTTTCCTTATCAGTATTATCCGTATTACCTGTGATCACAGTCCCAGTAAAGACTAAATGACCTGGAGCTACAGCACACAGGAACATAGTCACCGCAAAAAGTGCTACTCCAAAGACTCGAACGTTCATTTTGGCCTATTTTTTTAAATTGCTATTCGRAGGTTGAAGCAAAGTAACGTATCGCTAGGCCTTCTTCTTTAATATACACCAGACCAGAGCAGAATCTTTCAATAATAACAAGAGAATAAGAAGTTTTGAAAAATATTAGAATTTAATTTGATTAGAATTTCATTAATATTCGGCGTTAGACTTGTGTTATTAGATTACCTACAATTTGATGGTGACTTTAATTGAAACTCTTGATCTTTTGTCTTCTACACTTCATTCTAATAAAACCTCTACGAGGAAACCTTCAAACTACCATCGAGAATTTAATTTTTTAGGGTAGTGAGTCATCGATCTGCTCAAGCCCTTGAGGGGGTCTTCGTGACTGATACTGAACTTCCTAGGGTGTTTTTGCACCAACGTGGGAATTATTTACACCACGAATTTGTTTTTCCTAAAAACATATTATGGTTTTATTTCAGTATTTTTGAACGTTGAATGCTGATCATGGTTGCATGCGCGTTGAATCCCAGGCCTGCCGGACTGATGCTGGTCGATGTTTACCGGCTGGACGGTATTATTTCAAGAACCTTATTATTCCCCYCTCAGGCTGGTGGTGTAACTCAGTGTTTGAGCCAACTGAACAACAGTCATGACGAACGCGAGCGAGAAAATTATAAGTACTACCTAARAGGGACATGCTCGTTTCTAGATATTCCAGGAAGAGATATTAGATATTCACACCTGCTATCGACAAAGAGAGATCCGAGGACGTAGGCAGTATAAGAGAGAGAAATTATTATATTAAGTAATATCATGACATGAGGGCGACTAGTGATTAAATGTCCCCGAAAGCCGTGAGAGGCTTTGTTTTGTTTTGTTTGTCACTTTAACTAAACCTCCCGAGGCTTGAGGGGACATTTATTCACTAATCACCCGAAAGGTCATGCTGTTGGATTCAAACCAACAGTTGTAATATTATGATTACCGAGGAATAAAACTACTCTTTTGAATTGTATGTCAAAAAATAAATAAATAAAAAAAAACAACAAACAAACAAACAAAAAATAAATAAATAAATAAATGAATAAATAAGATAAAATAAAATAAAATAACGAGTCTTTCAAAGATTAGTTCACTTTGATTAACCAGAGCAGAATTAATTACATCTTTATTTATCATAGTTAATTAATGGAGCGTAATGGTTGTGAAACCTATTGTTCTAGGTTTTCGTTCTACTTTATATGACGTTGACCGTGCACAGAGAAGGAAATGTTGGTCCTTCGTAGTACTCCGACGAAGGAGTAACGYCCGAAACGTCAGTTTCACRAAGCTTTTYAYGGTGATYCAATTTATCTACAAGTTCATACTGTTTTATTCAGAAACACCGACGCAGTCCACGCAAGTACTCTACTAGTTATCACCACTCTATCATCTAGTAACTTAACTGTATCTGCACGGAAATGTTTATCCGCATGGTTTTTGGTCATCGGACAAAAGTTTTCTCTTTCAAAATGTTCATACATGAAAATAATAAGGAAATGAGTATTTCCAGCCACACTTGCTTTGATTCATTGTTCACGGTGCATTTAACAAATCGACGTCAGTTTTCTATGGGTCTGTACTGTAATCGAACATGAAATGACGTCAAAATGATCCAAACTCAAGTAGAACCACTAGCGCAGCGAGCCAATCAGCGCGCGAGAAATTTTCAAGTTATGGTACAAGAAATTTTCGAATGAGCATGTTTTTACTGAAATCGGAATTAAYATAAGATAGCTGTTAAACGATTCTCTTTAGCCCTTTTTTATTTGATTTTTCATCGCTATTGTCCTCTTTTATCACATTCGCGTAAATTCCAGTGTGCAGTACGGAATAAAATACCCAGCCCCCTCCCCCAGGGATTTTTGAATCGACAGACGGACGGTGACCAAGGGAAATAGAGGGACTGCAGTCATCGACTCCCGTGCGTCATCAACTTGCGCACGCGCGCTCTTTTCTTTTATTGTTTTGGCCGACACTGGTGAAAAAMGCACTGCGCACGCTCGGAGATGGCGTAGCGTAACTAAGGGCAACTTATATTTTTGATGCCGGTGTTTTGATCGTTTTACAAAATCGCAAAACTTAAGAACAATACTGAAAACTTAATGTTGTCCTTTTCGCAATAGCAAGATAATTTCGATTGTGATACACTGCTGATTTATACGAAAAAACTTTTGTTTATACAAAGCAAAAATAATCTTTGAAAATGCCGCCACTCGCGGCCCGACATCRACATCCAGTTTGTCTGATTTGCAGATCATCACATGGTCGGATTCTATGTAAAGAAATCCAAAAATATCTGTAAAATTACAAAACGAATATTTWAAAAATAGCCCTGTCGGTTAAAATAAAACCTACGCTTTAGATGTGATTAATTGTTATTGTCCGCCATTTTGTTTTTTCTCCCAACGCATGCGCAGTGCGTTTTTCACCAGTGTCGTTTTGGCCACTAAAAACCAACGAAACGAAAAGAGATCACGCGCGCAAATTGATGATGCACGGGAGTAGGGAGCTCCCCAGCCCCCTCCTCCAGGGATTTTTGACTCGTAACCAATCTTCCTCGGCCAAACGACACGGACAGACAGACGAACGGTGACCAAGTGAAATAGAGGGACTTGCGCACGCGCGCTCTTTTCTTTTATTATTTTGATCACTAAAAACCAACGAAGCGAAAAGAGAGCACGCGCGCAAGTTGATGGCGCACGGGAGTAGGGTAAGGTGAAAAGTAAACTGCATCCGGATATATCCGGTTATTAAAAATAGCCCAACTGGGAATTCACATGGCGCGCGCATTATTAAGATGTTTCGCTCTCATTTATGTTCTCTTGATTTAATAGTTAGCTAGTTTAATAACTAGTTACTTTTTTTTCTAGACCTATGTGAAAAACAAAATAAAATGTGACCTAAATATAATATTTTTGACCGCTTTCAATGTTTACGCTTTTTACCGTAAAAAGGGTTAACTTCCACGCACTCTGACAGCTAAACGAAGTCGGGGACCCCCCTTTTAAATTTACTTATTTTATTTCTAGTATGATGTACTTGTATTATGCAAAGTCTGACGATGGAATCTTTTCCCCATAAACGTCCTTAATAAGTTTTGTTACCAAGAGATGCTTAGCACTATTGATGTAGTTTATGTTTTACAAAGAAAGTTTCACCCAATCAGGCAGGGTAGCCGATATCACTTAAAACTGAGTAGACTTAGTTTATCCACATATTCTTGACTAAGACCCTTAAACACACCGTAAGCATGATGAGTCTGAAAAAATGCCAATGCAAAGTAGCCCTTTATGGACTCGTTCTTTTTCATTTTAATCTAGTTTACATTTTATTTAAATTTTAAATGTTACAACAATTTCAGTTCAAAATACAGATGTAAAGTATTCAATGTAGTTTTTACAAATTATTTGCTTTATATGTCTTATCCAGTCTAAGATTGGCATGTTTCTAATATACATGCGGTCATTTATAATAAAAGCGTATATGTAAGAACATTGTATACTTCTTATTCTAAGCCGGTGTTTAACCAAATCTAAGAGGGTTCCGTCAAGGTACGCAGTTAAGCTGTCGTGCAGCCTCACATATTTTTTCCTTAGTAGTCATTACTTGTCGTCTAGCAGCCATGTCTCGTTTGCCGTTTGGTGGCTTCGAGGTTGTTCTCTAAATTGTGAGATACGAATTAATTAGTTGTAATGAAGTTGATAAGATCAAGACATTTTTAAATTTTCAAAGCGACCATCTTCGTTGAATTGAAATGGTTTTTAGGCTGCGTTC